AAATTATAGTGCTATCTCTAAGATTATGTTGCCATTATGAAAAATCCAAAAGCCAGGTAGAAATGAAAAATTTATAGGACCTAACAGTGAAAGAGGCTGAGGGCCAAGTGATACATATACAGTAACTGTCAGTAAATAAAAACGTACACATGTGAACAAAACTGGAATAAACTACAGAAGAATTAGTTTGCGTGGTTGTGATCTTTTTATTTTAAAAAAATTTCCACAGCTTTTTAGCACTAAAAATGAAAATAAATCAACAAAAATGAAACAAACCCAAAGGCCAAAATTCAAAAGCAAAAGTAATTTGCCTGAGTTACTAATCGTATTTCCACCCATCTTTAAGGCTGGGGCAGTAAGCACTGCCTATGTTTCAACACTCAAGCCCTGATTTCATAGCATGGGTATAGATAGGCAGAGAGTTTATTTACAGAGGGCAGGACTGAACTTTGCATGTGAGCATATACAGAAAATGATAAAGATCGTTGTGTCCTATTAGTAATTTACAGAATTGTGATTTGCTCCACCCAGTACATCTATAATTGAATTCCTCAGTCATAAAATCATTGAGACCAAACAAGTTCAGATATCTTTTATCTAAATCCTTTTTCTCCCTCACCATCAGTTAGCATATTTCTTATGGAGCTTTTCTTCTTTTTATAGATTCATTTGTCTTAGTTATAAATTAACCCCACAAGCAACTCTCCCAGCCACCCAGCTCTACTGTTTCCTGTGTACCAGATTTTTCTTAACCTCACAATTTATGGTATACAAGCCATTTAAACTGCCAGTTGGTAAATGATGTCCAGGAACCATCTTTAGATTTTCTTTTTTTTTTAAGGTTCCAAAGGATTAACGACCCTTTAAGCAGAGATTCTCCTTAGAGCCAGACACCCTGGCAAAGAAGTGGAATATAATTGCTGAAGACTTGTTACTTCTTTTTAGTTTTTAGAACTGTAATAAAATATATATGAGATAAAATTTACCACTGTAACCATTTTTAAGTGTGCATTCAATGGCATTAAGTACATTCACAATGTTTGTAACAATTCTCCAATACTTTTTCATCTTACAAAACTGAAACTATCCCCATTAAACACTAACTCCCCATTCCCTTCCCATGCCCCAGCCTCTGGTAACCACCATTCTACTTTCTGTCTGTATGAAATTTGACTACTTTAGGTGCAACTTCTGTTATTTCTTGTTTCACCTAAAAAATGTGAACTAGTGTAGTTTGCTAAATTAGTTGAACATACACAAGAGTTACTGGCAAATAAATTCAGGGTCAAATTCCAAATACTTCACATTTCATTTTTCATGCCAAAATGTTTGAATTTAGACCACTCATTTTCAGATGCCAAAGTACATACCTGCCCCAACTTTGTCTTTTAAGAGTTTGCTTTTTTGATTTTAAAAGGCTCTATGCTTTTCCAAAGTTAAACTGACTTTCTAGCAACTTAATGCTGCCATCGATTTCCTTTAAGAATGAAAGATCTAGTGCTACTTGTATTGATTGAATTCCAAGACATTTTGCCGAGAAACAATATGGTCTTCTTCTCTCCTCTCCCATTCAAACAAATATGAGACTACGAGTTCTAAATTATTTTTCAAGTCCTGTCTTGGGTAATGATGATTTATGGATCAGGAGATTTTTTCAAAGTATTTCATGAAATACTTTGACAGTTCTGGTCTGAACATTCAAATTAGACTCTCACTGTCACCAAGAAAAAACACTGCTAAGACGTGGTTCCCGAGAAGGCAGAGTTTTGTGGAGTTATTCCCACTCACAGGTTTCTAAAGGGCTATAAGCAACTGGCTAAAGCACTAAGTACACTAAATAGAGGTAGAGGTAGGGATGGGAGTATGTATGAAAAGGATTAGAAAACAGCTCAAGAAATAGTCTTGATGAAAAGAATGCCCCTGCCTTACTCTTTTCTAAGATTTGCAAATGCAGAAACTTACTCCACAAATTAGCAAAAATCTAATGAGAGTGATTTACTGACTCCACTGTGACCTGTTAAAAAACTTCTTAACTTGATAGAGTTCCTTAGTATGCTTTAGGCAGCCCCCACAGTTACCACAGTGCAGTCCCAGTACAATTATCAATGCTGATACACTAAAGCCAAGACACAGCATCCACTTGAGTTCCAGCAACAGATGAATGCATAAAGAAAATGTGGTTCACATACATAATGGAGTATCATTCAGCCATAAAACAGAATGAAATCCTGTCATTCATGACAACATAGATGAGCTTGGTGGATATTAGATTAAGTGAAATAAGCCAGAAAGATACCAAATGCTCTCACTCATATGCGGGTTTAAAAAGTTAATCTCATAGAAGTAAACAGTAGAATAGGGGCTACTAGAGGCTGGAAAGGGCTGGGGATAGCCAGAGATTGGTTAGATACAAAATTACAGCTAGATACAAGGAACAGTTCTAATGTTCTATAGCATGGTGGGGTAAATATAATTAACAACAACCTATTGTATATTTTCCAACAGCAAGAAGAACAGATTTTGAATGTTACCAGCACAAAAAAAATGGTAAGTGTTTGAGGTGATGGGTATGCTAATTATCTTGATTTGATCATTACACACTGTATGCATTTATGAAAATATCAGACTGTACCACATAAATATGTACAATTATGTGTTAATTAAAAATAATAAAAGCAAAAAAAGACATAATATATTGAGAATGGCACAATACTATAAACTATTTGGATTTCACTAGTTTTCTTACTAATGTCCTTTTTCAGCTCTAAGATCCAATCCAGGATCCCACATTGCCTTTAGTTGTCATGCAATCTTCTCCTCCAAATCTGTGGTGGTTTATTAGCAAAGATGTGCCTTTTATGCCTCTACACTGTTGAACAGAAATGTGTCTGTATTTAGGTTAAAGCTTTCTCATAGTCAAATGAGATTAGGAATGTTTGGGAAGAATACCAAAGGCATGATGTGTTCTTTTCAGGACATCCTATCGGGGCATATGCTGATCACTACATCTTATTCTTGATATTGTCCTTGCTCATGTGGTTAAAGGTGGTGTCTGTCAGGATTCTTCACTGTAAAGTTAGCATTTTTTCCTTTTGTAATCAATAAGTTTCATGGGCAGTTACTTTGAGGTTATGTAAATATTTTGTTTCACCTTAAACTTTCACTCACACTGTTGCCCAGGCTGGAGTGCAGTGGCGCAATCTCAGTTCACTGCAACCTCCACCTCTTGGGTTCAAGTGATTCTCATGCCTTAGCCTCCTGAGTATCTGGGATTATGGACACCCGCCACCACAACTAGCTAATTTTTGTATTTTTAATAGAGACGGGTTTCACCATGTTGGCCAGGCGGGTCTTAAACTCCTGACCTCAAATGATCCACCCATCTCAGCCTCCCAAAGTGCTAAGATTACAGGCATGAGCCACCACACCTGGACCACTCACTAATTTTAGTATTTATCAGAGGAGGTTGCAAGCACCAATTATTGCTGTGGCTTTGTGACAACAATTTTCTATTTCCCCCATTCCTTTTACATATATTAAAGTCTTTTACAAGAAGTTCTTCTCCCTCCATTTATTTATTTATTCAGTCATTTATTCATATCAACCTGGACTCGTGTATATATTTTATTTATAAATAAGATTACAATTTGATACTATATGTAGTTATTTTATTGATCAAATTGTTCCACCTTTGGACATTGGGAGCTTTTTTAGGTTGACTCTTCTGAACACATCCTTACTTTCTGGCCCCACAACATCCTCCATGCTCAGCTTGTATTTTCCCTGTCCCGGGCTTAGAATTAACCCTTCTCCAAAGAGCTCTGGTTTTCTTTAAGGAAAAATGGTACAGATTGAGTATCTCTTATCCAGAATGTTTGGGACCAGAAATACCTTGGATTTTGCATTTTTTCGGATTTTGGAATATTTGCTTAACGCTTACTTGTTGAGCATCCAAAATCCAAAAATCAAAAATGCTCCAAGAAATATTTTCTTTGAGCATCACCTATATGCCCAAAAAATTTTGCATCTGGAAGCATTTAAAATTTCAGATTTTCAGATTTGGGATGCTCAGCCTCTATTTGGAAACCACAGTCTAGTTTGCTACTGGAGAGTCACTACTTCTAGGCCCTCTTAGCAGACAGACTTAGCAAACATATGTATGTATAATAACCCGTGTGTATACACATCTCTATATTAATTTCTTTTTCTAACTGATAATTCTTTATTCAATGTTGTGGATTTCATTTATCTGCAGATTTCAGGAAAATGAGATGTTCTGTGATAGCTCATGATTTACCAAAATCTATAATCCTAAAACTACATAAAGCCTTAAAGTGACATGTCTCCTTTTCCTTCCCAAAAATGTTAGGGACTAAGAACTGCCTTAGAACCCTATAATTAGGCCTCAGAAGGATAATTCTGCATGGTGCATATCCCAAAACTTTGGAAGCCCCTGGGGCCCCTGAAATCCTACCCCAATCTAGTCAGTCCCAGGAAGGAAGTAGTTTTAATAATGGGTACCAGCTATAACTTAGCAATTCTCCTTCCTAGAATGGAGTGTATTTGGCTTATAAGAAGCTAATTTCTCCTTTGTGACCACAGATTATGACCGCATAGCCAATAGGGAACCAGGCAAGAGATCTTAATTTTTATCTCAATTTAATTAAAAGTATCGTAAGAATCTAAAACAATGTAATTGTTACTTAAGTAGAAAAATTAAGAAGAACGTAAAAGTCTTTAATTAGAGTTTCATTTTTAAGGATTTGAGTTATTTCTCAACTTCTAGGTCATTTTCCTATCCTACGTTTGTTTTGTATTAGACAAACATGTTACACTGCATGCTTCAACTGACTGGGAAATTACCTAGCAGAAAGTATTATAATAGTCAAAAATAAAAACTCTCTAGGAACTTTTACAATAAAATACTATGTCTAATTTGCATATTCTTTAAAAGGGATACTTTTCAACATAAGCGCAGTATAAATTCTGATTTTACTTACCGTTAAAGGCTGACTATTGTTTGAGAAAATGGCCTTCTTTTTGTATATTTGTAGTTTAGTGTTGGCTTCTTTCAAATCTGAAAAATTAAAAAGAAAGATTTTCAATATACACAGATGTTCAAATTGTGTACACATGTATACAACCTAGGCTGCTAAAATGTACATGCATAAATAAATTTGCTTTCTCTGTTGGATTTCATTCTGAATGTTTGCTCTCCCTGAGCTACAATGCTTTATATTCTCGAGAAGTAACTAACAGACCAAAAAATGATTCATCATAAATCACACAGGGCTGGAGAATCTTTTAAAAATTATTTCATAAAAGAGACATGTATTAGATTCCCTTTACCTCTTTTCCTGTTTCCATCACTAACATGAATTAAGCTCCTTTTCATCTTTTATGTCACATGAATGATGATACCTCTATTACTGTGCAGACTTAAGAAAAACTAGACCTTAAACGGATTAATAACCTCGAAGGTTAATGTTTGATAAGTTATACACTGCAAAAACAATCCTTAATAAAATATAACTTCATTCTAGATGACACATGGTTATTTAGCCTAAAATGACAGTATAGATGTGTGCCTCAACCATGTAGGCAAGGCAAATGCAGCACACCTCTTATGAAGCAGACTTTTCAGAGGATGAGCCAGAGAACAGATTGTCTAAGTAAAAGGGCTCAGGGTCTTAGGATTCACAACTTTATCTCTTATGAAAGGCTTAAGAATCCTAGAGTAGCTGTATTTTCCATCAAGACAAAATAGCATCTAGTGCCAAAAGCCTTATCATCAGGGCCTGAATACTGCCAACATCAAGACTCAACATTCTGCATGCACAGTCTAACCTACATGAAACTCTACAGTATTTTCTCTTTTAATTATGTATCTTTTAATTTATAATTTACAAAAACTATTTTATTACTTAACACATGGCATAAAAGTAGTAGACCATGAAGATAAAACGTTTTCCCATTTTGTTAACTCTGGCAGGAAAGAATATAAACTATAGGCAATGTATTTTGCTTGTTTGTTTATTTCTCCAGCACTGTTTAGTACTTCTATTTGGAAAATGAAAGAAAACATTTTCACTTTGGAAGGCCGAGGCAGGCAGATTGCTTGAGCCCAGGAGTTCAAGACCAGCCTGAGCACCACAGAAAAACCTCGTCTCTACAAAAAATAGAAAAATTAGCTGGGCATTGTGGTGTGTGCCTGTAGTCCCAGCTACTCAAGGGGCTGAGAGGTAGGAGGATGTCTTGAGCCCAGGAGTTTAAGGTTGCACTGAGCTATGATCACACCACTGCACTCCGGCCTAGGGAACAGAGCAAGACCCTGTCTCAAAAACAAAACAAAATAAAACAAAACAAAAACAAAAACTTTTAAATACGGAGTCAGTATCAAAAATAAAGCAACAATTTTCTTTTCAGAATTGGACATGCCCTTCTTTAGAAAGAGCTAATGTGTCAGTGTGTTATGCCCACATGTTTTATGTTTTCTGGCTGTGACTACTGACCTGTATCATAATAATATATACAAACACACTCTAATTTGTTAGCCAGAAATGAAAGGAGCACCCACAGTGAAACTGCTCACGCACAACACGTAGAAAACATGAGAGATGAGAAACAACTATGTAATCTATGACAGATTACCACTTGGAATTTTTGTTTTTACATTTAAGGCAACTATTAAAAAGGGCTCATATATGTGAAAACAAAAGGAAAGATTTTAATCTAAAAAAACTGAACAAAATCTGTATGTAAAAAATTAGAGAATGTTGAGTTCCAGGTTAAGATTAAGCTGTACCAGCTTTCCTCAATACTCGTGACAATTTCCCTTTGAAATATATATGTATTCCTTCAGAAGTAGATGGGTAAAAAGTAATGATTTCTAGAAACTGCTTTCTATTCCAAGTGTGTAGTCCCAAGTGTTGGATTAAACAGAAAACTTGGCTGGTTGTCACTACTCTCAGAGTCAGGCAGATTTAGGTAACCTTTCCCCAAGCCCCTCCTGCCACTAGTCCTCTCCCTTCTGAACCCATTCAGAATTGCATTGTATCTTAGAAGGAACTGTCTCCAGACATGAAACTCAGTAGGGCAGAGACAAGATCCATCAGGGGGAGCAGATACCAAGGACTGCAATTCTTTCACCTCTGCCATCTGGTCAAATAACTCAAGATTGGTTTATATTCATTAGGTTATAAATACCCTACCCACCCCTAGAAGCCAGAGAACTGGGCTGTGAAGACAGCAGACAACTGCCTTACACTTCAACACAGCCCACATTAGATAGGGTCTGTTCATCACTACTCGACACAATGATTTTACAACTGGGATAGGATTTTTACCAGAACCTAAGTAAATAATAAGGCAGGCCAAGGGCAGTTTACTCAGACTAACTTGTCTGAAATGAAATAAATGGTGAAGTTGACTTAAGATATAGAAAAATAATTAACAATGGAAATAATTGAAAACTTATCAAAGAATTACTTTCCCAAAAAGCTATTCGTTTTATAGATGATTTTTTAAAGCTTTCAAGGAAGAGTTAATTTTCTTACTACATAAACTGTTTCTGAGTAGGAAAAAATATAGTAACATAACAAACTTTTCTATAGTAGTATAACACTGATATTAAAACCTGACAACAGAGAAAATTATCAGTCCCACTTATCAATATTGATTTTAAATAAAATGCTAATTAACAAATTAAATCCTCTATTAAAATAATGAACCACCATAATCAAGTTATAGTTATCTCAGAAAGGCAAAGAAGATTTAATATTTGAAAGTCTATTAAAACGTCTCACAGCACTAGATCAAAAAACTATAGGATTACTACAAAAATGACAAAAGTACTCAGTACAATTCAACAGCCATTCTTGACAATATTTCTTTTAAAAAGTATGAAACTTAAGAACAAGATATTAATCTCAAACTTTACAATCAGTATCATCTTAATTGTGAAATACTAGAGCAGCATTTCCCAAAATTTGTCCTATAGATAACTTGTTCCCTAAGATATTTCAACAGAAAAGGTTCTACCATAAAATAAATTTGCATATGGTCTTCATTTTTGGAGACTAATAAAGTACATTAGCATTGTATGTACTCTGTAAACCCTGTAATCTAAAAAAGCCACCATCAACAATAACAATCTGTTTCTCGATGGTTCTCAAACTTACCCGAACACGTGTTTTTGGCTTTTTATTATTTCACTCCTCAACCCACTTTTCTGTAGTTTTTGGCACCTACCTCCTTTCTACTGAAACTCAAGTACCTGTCATCTCCTTCCTACTAAATCCTAGACTTTTCTTGACTTCAATTCTATTTTTCCAGTGGCATGCCAGTAAATATTTAACTGGCCCTCCTTGCAGAGAAAAATGCCCTGATTTGTAATGTGTGCCAGCTTTTGTGGTGTAAATACTCCCACCATGACTGATATAAAAGCAGCACAAACATTACAGTCTATTTCCAGTACTCAGTGGGCATGAATCATCTCAGCAATGTAAAATAATTAGGAAGTGGTGTGGTTTGTGTATTTCTTACTTTTATTTTGAATGTAACTTTGTGTTTAACTGTATCTAATTTAAATTTTAATAATGGCTGTGTGTAACAATTGGCTTAATAAAATTCTGGAAATCTAACAACACGGCTCCAGCACACCATGATCTCTGCCTCTGCAGCATTTGATATTTTGCCCATCCTCCACTATTGAATCTATCTATTCTCTTGGCTCCTTGAGATCTGTTTTTCTCCTTTTTTTTTTTTTTTTGGAGACAAGGTCTTGCTCCAGGCTGGAGTGCAGTGGTGTGATCACGGTTCACTGTAGACTGAACATCCCAGGCTCAAGTGATCCTCTCACCTCAGCCTCCCAAGTAGCTGGGACTACATGTGCACACCACCACACCCAGCTAATTTCTCATTTTTTAATAGACAAGATCTCCCTATGTTGTCCAGGCTGATTTCTAACCTGCCTTGGCCTCCCCAAGTGCTGGGATTACAGGTGTGAGTCACTGCACCTGGCCTCCTAACTCTTATCCTACCATATGAAGACGATTTTAGTCACTTTTCCTGGTACCCCTTCTTTCTATTTTGTGTTCTCTAAGTTTCTTCTTGGCCTTCATCTCTTCTTTATATTCTTGTCCTCAACACTCCGATTCATAAACACATCTGCTTATAGCTCCCAAACCTATCTCTAAATACAACTCCTCTCTTGAGAGTTCCAAAGGAAGCACAATTCAACACCTAACTGGACAACTTCTCACTCTCTTTAAGAGAAATTCCATTCTTTACTGGGGTCTTTCAAAATACATTAAAGAAGATTCAATTTATAACCACAAAGCAACCCTTCTCATATACCCCTTCCCTTTAATTTCCCCTTAATTCCCTTTAATTTCTTTAATTTACAACAACACAAGCTGATTTGCAGTGAATTAACACCACTAAGAGTTTAAACTTAATCCACATTTAAACTCTTAATAACTAAGAGTTTAAACATAATCTACAGTGTTACATGTGAATATGGTTGCAGTTGTATAGGTCTAATTGTTAAATGTGGAGTACTGGTGGTGGTGATGGGATTTGGACATCTCATTCCCTGGAAAGACAAATACTTGAAAAGTAGGCTCTTGTGCCGGACGCGGTGGCTCAAGCCTGTAATCCCAGCACTTTGGGAGGCCAAGGTGGGTGGATCATGAGGTCAAGAGATCGAGACCATCCTCTGTCAACATGGTGAAACCCCGTCTCTACTAAAAATACAAAAAATTAGCTGGGCATGGGTGGCGCGTGCCTGTAATCCCAGCTACTCAGGAGGCTGAGGCAGGAGAATTGACTGAACCCAGGAGGCAGAGGTTGCGGTGAGCCGAGATTGCGCCATTGCACTCCAGCCTGGGTAACAAGAGCGAAACTCCGTTTCAAAAAAAAAAAAAAAAGTAGGCTCTTGTGCATGACAGGGTGGCTACGTTCAAAATGTCTGGTTTCAAATCCTAGTTTTATCACCTGGCAGATTATTTTACCTCTCCCTGTTTCTTCATCTGACTTTTTTTTTTTTTTTTTTTTTAAATTGAGACAGAGTCCCCG